CAGCCTCCGCCTGCTGTGGCCGCAGACCAGGGGCAGCGCCTTCCAGTGTCTGCAGCAGTTCCAGCAGCACAACAAGGCCCTGAGGCGCAGGGCGTGGACGGAGGCGGAGGACCGCATGCTCACGCAGCTGGTGCAGGAGATGCGCGTGGGCAACCACATCCCCTTCCGACAGGGGGAGGGCGTCTGGCGGGTGGCGAGGCCGGGCTGGAAGAAGAAGGGAGGGTCCGGCCGCCCCAGGGGTCCCGGTTCCATGCTCCATGGTGATGGCCGCTCCTTCCTGGGGGGCCCGGGAGGGGCAAGTTCATGAGGCCCCTTTGTCCCCAGTTGTCTACTACATGGAGGGGAGGGACTCCATGCAGCTCATCTACCGGTGGACCAAGAGCCTGGACCCCCGCCTCAGAAAGGGCCTCTGGACCCCAGAGGAAGACACGGTAGGTGTGGGGGCCGGGAGGGCCATCTCTTGGGAAGGCGCCTGGACACTGGCGGCCCCTTAGCAGACTGAGTGGGGGGTTGTGATTACTGCAGAGGCCCATCTGTCTGTGTCCTTCCTGCAGAAGTTGCTTCAAGCTGTTGCCAAATATGGGGAGCACGATTGGTTTAAAATCCGGGAGGAGGTGCCAGGAAGGAGCGACGCCCAGTGCCGAGACCGGTGAGTGTGAACTGCGGGTGCGGCGGGCCTGGGTGGGTGCAGAGACCCGGCCGGTGCTCTGGCCCGGGGCAGCCTGGGGCCCGGGGGAGACCCAGTCGGGAAGTGGGGCAGCTCTTTCACTTTGAAGCTGCAGCTTATTCAGACTCCAGTGGGGACGGTCCCTGAGAGGCAGGCTCCCTGAGCCCTGTTGTGATTCCCCCCCAGCTCGCTGAGCCCCTGCCCCTCTGGGCTGGCTTTTATCCAGGCCGCTCTGTGAAGGCGTGGCTCACCCTCTAGCATGTGCGGTCTGTGGTTTCTGGTGTGAGCACAGTCGTCGTGGCCATCATTTTTAGGGTATTTTGATCCCCCCCCAATGAAACCTATTCCCCAGCAAAGAAAACAAGTCAAAAATAAACAAAGGGCCTGAACAGACGTTTCTCCAAAGGTTAAACACATGAAAAGATGCCCACATCCTCCATCATTTCAGGAATACAAGTCAAACGCCCATGGGTTACCACTTCATGCACAAGGAGGTGGAGAGGCTGGAACCCTGGGCACCGCGGGTGGGAATGTGCTGTGGAGACTCAGGAATTAAAAAGGACCCCTCCCCCTGC